GTGCTTATGGAAATGCTGGGGCTAACAGAAGGTTCCGGAGACACCGTTTACTCAGCCTGCCAGCATTAGAGGACTTGGCCCCGGCGGTTCCTCTCCGAACTCGATCCCACGTAGGGGAAAAACGGATCGTGTTCAGAGTGTTTGCGCGGTGGCATCGTGTCCACTCAGTATTCCAGAGAGAAATTACAAGTCAAAGTCATGGCAATATTTCTGACTTTTTGCATTCCGGGACATCATCTCCAGCTCATCACTTCAAAGGATACTAAGTTCACTTGAGTGCAAAGCCAAGCAAATCGACTGATGACAACAAATACGAGTTACAGCATTAAATCTTTGGTGGGTGATCTCATGGCGTTATGTAAGACAGCGGTGCCCGTGCCAGACCCTCAGACAGAGCGCAGGGGAGACATTCAGGTGCATGCTGTTGAGCACGCAGCTCTCTTCTTTGCCTGCCATACTTGGAAATAGTTTTGTTTGAGCTTGCTCAACTTGTTTACCCCAATAAACAGTCCCCAGCCAAGCCTTTTAAAGAGGTAGGGGGAGTAAAATGTTTTTTGAAATAATTATAGCTTTCATGTTTACAATAAAACAAAACCATAAATTGAAACAGTTTAAATAACAAAACTCTCACGCATCAGTGCAGCAGCTCCTGGTGATTACAATGTTCTGTTTAGGCAGAAAAGGAGTTCACACATCTGCAGTGAGCTACCTCTGTCTGAACCATAGTGGCTGAAGGACCTCTCACATAAAGGCTGCTTTCAAATACAATTACATATTTGTGCAATTTATCGCCACTTGTCCAAAAAACATTTGATTCTTATTTCTTTTGATGAAGATAAATGACTCGATTGGGAATCATAATCGCGTGATGGATGGTAAATTATGATTTTCCTCTCATTGCTCTCGCATGAGCTAGAACACGGAAAAGGACTGTGAAAATAAAGAAAGACATCTGGTGACAGTGAGAATTCTTACACACAAAGCACAACCAGACCGGAGTCCAAGTAGCAGCTTGGACTGGAAATTCATGATTAAAACAGCTTCACCATGTGTGCTCTTCTTTACGCATGACGAACGGTGTAGCTCTGTAAACCCACCCCAGAAACAGCGACTGACACGATGTGCTCTCATCTGGCTGCAAGTGCAGTTTCACTGAGGAGTTGTAAAGCTGGAATTAAAAAAAGTGTAATTTGATGACTAAGAGGAAGGTGAAGCTCTGGTGTGAATGGCAGCCAGTGACTCAGGTTGCTGCACACGCACATTGGTGGTTTTACCAACCAGTGCCTGTGACTAGGAGACACCAGAAAAGACAGAAGCATCCACAACCCCTCATCTCACTCCTCCACCACCATCCACATGCCAAGCTCCATCGCAGTAGGCAGAGCTGGCGAGACAGGAGTCGGGATGTCTGCTCTAATTCTCCAAACTAGGACCACATAGCAGAGGAGAACCCATTAAGCGAGTCCTGGACTTTGGCTGACTCCCCAACAGCATAGGCCTCTCATCACAACCCCCCCCATTCTCTCTCTGCTTTTACTCCTCCCACGCACACTCCCACCCCCTGCTGGCTCGGGTGCCAGGACCTAAACATGTATGGGCCTCTGCAGAGAACCGCCTCCAAGGTAGCACTTCTCTCCTCTGCCAGCAAAAATAAGACATTATGCTCTCTCTCTCGCCTCCTCTCCCTCCCGTCTCAGCAACACAAGTCCCTCCCGCATCACAGTGGTCAAAGAGCTGCCAGGAGCTGCAGCCAACAACTACATTCTGCTTTGCCCTCTTTTTTTCCCCACTGATGGCTCTGAGGGAGATTTACTTTACTTAGCAAGAAAATTTATGTAGATAACTGAATTTCGTTGTGCATCCCTGTGTTGCGTAATGACAATAAATGACCCTTGAATCCTTGAATCATGTCCATTTGAAAGGCAGAGCGTGTTCCCTGAGATGTGTTACTATACACAGGAGCAGACCACTAGTTGCATTTTTTGTTGTTAGCTTGGAAAAAGGGTATTACATGGGCTGTAGAGTATCTGCACTTGGCCATATTTGAAAACAGATACAAATGTTGGTGTGCATATACACTTGGAGATGGACATGCACACAACCAAACTCAGTTGTGGGAACATGCAATTGACTGGTGCTCATGCTGTAACCCCAGGCACTAATCGTAACCGTATCAATGACATGCTCTACAGTAATCCTTACCCTAGCTTTAACCCGAGTCTAATTATAACTCTGTTCTAAACCCCTAATCCCTGAGTGGCCCTTTTTCAAAATAATGACAAGACGTTCTAACTTTAGAGGTTATATTCTTTTTTGGGAATGTGATCGCCGCACAGATTGGAAAAGAAGAAAAACACATAAATGTCACCATGGTCGAAGCATTTGTTGTAAGGAGAAACACGGATGTCCTGCAACCCCGACAGTTCATTGCTTTTGCCTTTAAATGATCTTAACGACCAAGTCTAGCCTGTAATTAGTTCAGCATCATGTCTTTTTTATGTCTGAAGATTTTACAGACTTTAACATCCAGTGAGCAAGTTTCTAATAAAAGATCTAAAAGCGCTTCGATATCAAACCAACAAACGGACATGCATGCGTATTTGCCATCTGTCTTTGTGTTTGTGGTATAGGTCACCATTATTGGGGCAGTCCAACGTGAACGTGTCGTAGCGTAAATATTCACTGACGTAATGGACAGATCTGTATTTTTAAGTCCAGTGCAAACATGTGGACATTTGAGTGCAAAGGGACGACTGCCTGAGTCCTCCTCAGTGGACCAGCTGAGAAAACACTCCTCGCTACACACTGCGCAACATAAAAAACTTTAAATTCCATCGCTCACATCCCATGGCACCCATTTGCTTTGGCCCGGAGCTTGACATTACACCTACTCCTCATTTCATAACATACTACAGGGGAAGAGTTTAACATGCAGTACATCACCGGCTGATTTATGACGAGTCATGAAAGGCAGGACGGATTCTGGTGCAGCGGTTCAGCTTTTGAGTGAGATAAGGAAGGACGGCAGGTGATTTTGCAGGAAAAGTATACTTAACACTTCAGTTCAGTCATACTCAATTCCATCATTTAAAGCGGATGACATGGGGAAAAACTTTGACTGGATGTTTGACTGGTTTGACTGGATTTTGTGCTTTTATTTGCATGAAAACAAAGAGGCCAGTCCCGGATAGACATTAGAGCATTATTGTTAGCATACTGTATATGATGCTCTAATGGCTGTGGTGACTTGTGTGACCATGTCCCTACTCATAAAGCTTGTGTGGTCACACAGTGGTTTTAATAGCATGACAGTGATGTTAACCATTATCCCGTGACCTTATTAAAAAACGTTTTTAGCTTTTTATGAAACACTCAATCGTGTTCTCTAACGCACACACGCATCAAGTTCAACATTAAGATTTCTCCAGACATTGTAAACACAATGAACAAAAGAATGACAGTACTACAAACAATGTAGACAACATAGTAACGACAAATACTGTAGACTCAACAACAAATCAAAATTATTTAAAAAAATAGGGCTTCAATTGCCCCGGGAAGTATTTTCACAGATTGTTTATTTTTCTTACAGTCCAGTATTTAGACTTGTGTCAATTTAGCCTATTTAGAAAAGATTAGTGGCTCAATGGGAGTGATGTAGTACAGAAGAGCTGGAGAGAGAGCAAAAGCATCTCTGTGACTCACCGTTGTTACCTCCTGACCTTACACAGACGGTAAACAGGGCACTAATCGAAGTATTGCGGTGCAATGACCAGCCTTCTTGTTGACATCTGACAACTAGCATAGATGGATCAGTTGGGTAATAATGCAGGGTTTTGCGACGTTGTTTCTTTCCTCAGAATGCACCAGAAATGGAGGATTTACAGAAGAGCAGGCTGAAAAAAAATGAATCAAAATAACAGACAAGACGAAGCCATGAAAAGAATACAGTAAAGGGAGAGCCGGCACCATCCATAGCTTAGCGCTATTCTGGGAATTGCGCTCATTCATGCAAAAGCAGTGTTACTTTGTCAGAGTGCTAATTAGATGTAAGCAGACCTTGTTGCTCAGCATGCCAACTGTAACACACATGAGAAACCGAGGAAATGACTGAGCTGGATTGATGGAATTCCGTAAAAGGCCGAGGACATTTATCACTGGTGGTAGAAGCTAAACACAAGAGCAGCTTGATGCCAGCAAGAATGTGTGCAGCCAAAACAGTTGATTGAGTAGACGTGGGTTTGTGGAACAGGAGAGGGAAGTAACTTACTTGAAGGAAAGAAATAAAATCTTGAGGCATATTCAACTTTGGCAGGTCCTCACCTTGGTAATATAAGAATGGTGAACCAGCAGAAGAATTATGTTTGGTTTTCAAGAATCTGGCAACAAGTCCAACAAAGCTTCTGCTTGCATTTTCTTTGCATTTGGACTTTAATTCAAAATGCCTCGGATACCGCTCTTAGCCGCTACATGCCATCTGATGTGGTGAAAATAGCTGGCAATGAAAATATTGTGTGCGATTATCTGACGTTAGCTTGTGTTGTATAGGACATTTTGAGGCATAACAAAGCAGAGCCATATCTTTAGAGAATTGCTCTACCTAAGCCTCACTGATGTGGGAAGGGGAGCAGCAACTCTTACCCAATTTTCTGGATAAGCTTGTGACATCTCTTTCAGACGAGTGTTGGGAGGAAACAGATAAAGCTTTCCATGTGGCATGTTCTTTTTCTGGCTCATTCCGTTTGCCCGGCTGCCAGAGAATGGAGTCTAATGGAGGGGTACAAGGAAGACGAGGGGGAGTAAACGTAGGAACTACGGGGGAGCACTAAACATGCATGAAGGAAAATAGTCCTCCCAGATGACCGTAATGACTGGGACACAGAATGTGTACAGATCTAGGCGAGCGGCCAAGACAAACAGCCCGAGGGGGCGAAGCGGAAGCCATAGCCAGGTGAGGGCGGGGGGGGGGGGGGGGAGTTCAAATAAAGTATATGGAGGGTTGGACGGGACAAGGCGAGACAAATGCCATTACAGTGCAGAAAAGAAAAAGAAGCCAGGAGCGAACCTGAGAGTTGTGGGAGTGTTTCCTCTGAGGGAGGGGATCAGGGGTCTGGTTGCACAGCCGTACGGAGCCACCTGATAAATGGTGCTTAACATGCACAAACATGCTGCATACACCAATGCGCTCGCCCTCATGTGAAAACACACGGTATACTGCACAGAGCGAGCACCGTGTCTACTGCTGCCTGTTCCCTTCATTCTCACATCCATCCACACACTCGATAACCTCCTGGGGCGCTGTGTTTTCTGTGCCGCGGTATGTACGGCCAAGGAGCACAGCTTGAGCTGCAGGGAGGTCCAGAAACCCAGAGGGAGATGCTACGCAGGATGTGTGTGTGTGTGTGTGTGTGTGTGTGTGTGTGTGTCCGTGTCGGATTGAAGGAGCAAAAAGTGGATATTTAGTGAACGTCCGTGTGCGTTTGCATGAGTGTATGAGTGTTTTGACACTTGTGTACGTGCCAGAATTTGTCAGAAAAGGCCCAATAGAGAGACGGTACAATAAGACAGAGGGCACAGCATCTGATACCCATATGTTCATTTGGTCAAAAACCATTTTAATCAAGTTTGTGGCTTGGTGGAGCCAAAGTAGCTGCCTGTGAAATAAAGAGTACAACAAGAGGCACACAGCGTTCCGGTCACACGGCCTCTCTGTTGTATCCACACGTGTAGACGCGCTGTGCCTGGCTCCACCACACAGCAGAGAGGGCATGCGAGACTCATGCTGCATCGATTGCTTGCTCTAAACTCTGAAAGTGATTTTCTCACTGTATCTTGAGGAAATGAATCATTAGGCTGTGGCCCAGTTGGGATGGCTCTGACATGGAATAAGAAGCAGCCACTCACCCCGGGCTGGTGCATTCGGAGTGTGCACTGAGACGAAGGGGAAAAGATGGGAAGCAACCCACGAGGGCCGTGACAGGAGAGGGGGGGGGGGATTCTAAATGGCAGGGAATGGATGCATGCGGAGGACTGGGAAGGGAGAGCTGGAGGAGACGAGCTTTGGAATGAAGGAGATGGGGAAGGAGAGGGGGAAAGGGGAGCCGCCTTTGTGGCTTTTGAGTCAACAGGATAACAGCTCAGAGTCAAGCTCGTCTTTCCTGGAACACCACAGGAGCACTCAGCACGAGAGAGAATAATGCCTCGTACTAATCTTTCTCATCTTGCAGCACACGTCTTTGTCAATTGTTTTGGTATCCTCGCTCAGAACTGCAGCACTTGGAAAACTAAGGCCAACAGAATACTTCAGATGAGTATATTGTGGATTAATTCAGGATTCAATCTGAAAATATTGAACAGAAATGCAGCCGCTGACTGCGGTAAGATGGCAGTACAGTTAGATTTTGCATCAATAGCTCTTCTTTGTAGTTTTCTCCCTTTTTCCTATTGTGTCACTTTGTCACTGATCAATCACATAGAAGCTGATTTAACTTTACACTGTGTCTGACATGTCTAACTTGCTTTTTCTTTATTTTTGTGCAACGTCGGAAGTTCCCTGTTGGATTTTCTGACCTCTCACCTCTGTGATCCCCGGTGTACGGGCGTAGAAGAAACATCCATGCGATGTTGAACAGCTGCACTTCCTAACTAAGGTTATATCCATGCTCGATGAATAACCCGCTTGTGATTATGCTTAGTTTTCCTTATTATGCTGCAAATTCAATTTAACAGTGCATTTTAATAGCTTAACATCACTTGTTGCTATTCAGTAGTCAAAGCCCTGCGTGCCACATGTGGTGTTGTTTTTTTGTGAGTGATCAACTTTTAATTGATATATTTACTTATGCAGAAAATAAAATATGATGATAATATAATAAAACCAAACAGGAAGACCTTCCAACAACAATATGTCACATATATATGTGTCAGCAGGGCTACCAAACAGCAAGTGGTTAGGGCGCATACCACATGGGTGCACATGGGACAGCATGATTAAACAAATGATGATTTTTGCCTTAATTGTGAAGATTTAGCTTCTTCTTAATGGTGTTAGTTAATATTCGTAGAACCCTGAGTTCAACGTAACTACCACTAGAGACCCTCTAGCGATGGGATCACACCAACAGCGATGTCAAATCAGGCCAGGGATCTAAAATAGGGAGACAATGGCCACTTCTCCGCTTCCTACACCCTACTTCCACGGCCTTGCTTGGACCACTGCCACCTAGTAGTGAACCCACCTCATCAACGGCCACGACACCGCTGGTTGTGATGCCACATTTTCCCCTGACGACACACACAGAGACTCGCAAGGTGAAAACAATTCCAGCCACACACTATCGCAGCTGGTTGACATCACGTTGCATATGCTTGCGGAGGATTAAAATGTGAAAAAAAGTGAAACATACTTAATCATCCCTTTTGGAAAGCAATATTATGCTGTTTTGCGTAATTCATTAAACTGTGTCTATCAGTGAAATTATGTTTTTTGATACAGAATGGTGTTTCCATGACCATTTCTAAGTAGGGTGGGTCTGGGAAGCCAAATCGAGGAAACTGCTATCGCTCCAGATTTTCCAACAATCTAATTTACTGCTCTTGACTTGAAGGCAAAATTTTAGTTATAAATCTGCAAAAGCTCCAAGCTTGTAACTCTTAACTCCCATCTGCAAGTGTTCACGAGCTCATGAGCAACACGGGAGAATGCATCTGGGACATCCCAGCATCCTAAAGTGACCCATGAACACGAGTGCTGATAGGAGATAAGGAGGATATGACTTATGTGGAATGCAATTTGGGTTAAGATGAAAAGAGGAGTGTTGAAGATAACCCAGACTTTTCTAAGAAGCGGTTAGAGGTAGGAGGAGTGAAAACAAAGAAGAGAACAAGCAAAGATAAGAAAGGGAGGTCTGGATTACATGTTAAGCCTCATTACTCAACCTCCCACTCGGTTTAATACAGAGGGAGATAGAGACAGACTGAGAAATGGAGTGAAAATACAAACATGAATAGCAAATATACTTGTGTGCAGCAGTGTGGGTATCCATGTCTCCCCCGTGACCCCATGCTTTGGTTGAAGCTTATAATAAAGCAGCAAATTATGAATTAGATAAGTGTCAGTGAGCTATTGGTCTGGGAACACAGCAACCATCGCAACCACACTACATTTAAGAATGTGACTTTCTGCCCTCGACTCCATCTATCATCTTGTAAATCCATAACATTTCCACTTCCCACTGAGTTGCTCACGATAGTCGAGACCATCTGAATGCACCTCAAAACCCAGAAATCGTGTTTAAATGGTCAGATGTCGGTCGGATGGGTTCCCTTCAGACCCGAGATGGTAATTTACTTGTTATCTGTCACAACAAGACAATAAAATCACACTGCCAGATGGTCATTTATTATCATCCCGCGTTGAAGTGGTGTTCTGCATGATTGCGGCAATAGAATTGTTTTTAATACAACTTGTTTTTACTGCGCTGCACATGACTTGTACACGTCACCTGAACTCCCAATCACACTCAGCCTGAACACCCAGTTTGTGGTGTGAAGGATGCAGGGCACGGAGAATAGCAAGGGAACCCCATAAGACATATGGTCTTGATCGGAGCCAGTACTACCATGACATCACGGTCACATAATTGACTCTCATCGCCTGTTGCTCTCTTTCCCCCCCCCCCTTTGTTGTCGGGGGGCAAGTGAAGGCCACACAGCTATGGAAGTTTTCCTCCTTCACGTGAGTATGCTGTTGACTGTGGGTTGCAATATCACAGACCACTTTGCATCTGGATATTCTGTTCATACCGTTCTTTCCCCGACCGGATATTTAGCAGACAGTCAGGCTCTTCATTTCAAGGTTCTCCTGATTTATTAATGGAAAATCATTTTAGGGCTTTGAGTTGGACAGTGTCGCGTCTGCCTCTGTAGCCGGCGCACGCTCGTTAAGGATTTAACGGTCCTAATAAATCACAAACACTGCAGCCCTCACATTAGGTCGAGTTTAACAAGTGATCACCAGAAGTCATTTGCAGGAAGTGGGTGACGAAAAAGACAGGAATACATGTAGATGTTAACCACTACGCAAAGCAGCTGTGACACAACGGTATAGCCGAGGAGACACTTTCCATCTTAAGTCAACTTCTCAGAGCTCCCTGTAGGATATAGGGGAACCTGCCAGGGTAGCTTTTGCGCAGTCTGGCTGTTGTTGTTTTGTATTAAACAAAGTCAAGCTGTCCCTTCGTTCCTGCCAAGCTCATTGTCGTAGTTGTTTTTCTCGGAGCAGCCATTCATCGCGTAGCGAGGCTCCGGTGATACACTGAGCAGATTACCTCTGCCGGACTTGTTCATAAACAACAACCACATGCTGCAACATATAATAAAAAACATGATAATAACCACAGGCCTGATGGGAATCATGATGTGAATCAGTCCTAGCGGTATGCATCCATGTTGTCATTCCTCTCTCTCTCTCTCCCTCTGTACAATTATCCATCTCCCTGTCCTTCTATATTACTTTACAGATGTACTGACATGCTGTGACGGTTAATACGGTCAGCCCTATTCAGATTAGGACTTGACGATGCACTGAGATTATGTATTTTGATGCCTGTGAAGTAATCACAATACAATTTTGAAATAGAATTAATTCAAGGCCCCAAGCTTCAACTCCCTCTCTATCCATGCAAATCTCACGTGAACATTGATTATTAGAGCATTACTAATTTCTCAGACATACTCACAGTTACACCTCAGACAGAAGCGCTACTGAATATAAAAGTGATTCTTTAGGAAAAGGTGTATTTAACTACTGTAAAATGTACTGAATTCAAGCCATAATTGACTGTTTTTTTAAATAAACATTTTAGGCTATAAAAGTTTACAAGTATCAACATTGTTCACTTAGTTCCCTCTTTTAATTTCACGGTATTCAAACAAATGTTTGACTTTGGGGGAGAGTTGGCAATAAACACTTTAATGATCTGGTAATAGCAGGAAATAAAACATAATGAATGAGCTGAAGAGTGGTGGTGAGCCTGGGATGGTTTAGATATTTAGGAAGCCTACCTCATTTCCCAAGAACAAGAAAAAAAACAACAATCGCCACCAGAGATTGTACATTTGAATCATAAGTTAGGCTGAATGCCTGATGTCTGAACAAAAAAAATGTATAAGTCATCAGTTTATAGCCACTGATTTGCTAATAAATCCCAAAGGATCTTGAACATTTGCTCCTTTAGCTTTCTGGAAGACCGGAAATGACTCCGAGGTCAAAATGATTCACATTTCCAAAGAGGATAATTGTTCTTTCTATTTTTCTAAAACATCCAGAGAAAGCTTTGTCTACTAAATGAACATTACTGTGGTCAAACTCACTGGGATGCAACACAGATGAGGATGAGGAATGCTGAACCTCAAACTAGGCTATATGGATACGTTCAAGCCGTCTGAAATCTCTCCTCTGTCCCTCTGTGTTTATAATGCATTATGTTGTTTCCTGTTACTAATAGTCCAATCGATCCCAGTTGTAGCTGCCCACAGAGACATGCTCCTTGCACAAAATCAAGCTCTGAGTCGATGTGATGAGAGGAAAAGGCCCACTGTGTAACAACGTGTTGTTCCAAACCTTGATGATGACATTAGTCTTAATCACTGAGAGAAAGTCCCCCTAAACAAACCCTCCCAGTATGCACAACCGCGGAAACCGCATCCTGGTTTTTCTCAACAGAATGTTAACCTGGTGACAGCGCCTGACATGTTTCACAGCGATGCACGGACCGCGATGTTGGGTTGTGTGATTCCTCGAGCCAGCGGTCTCATCTATCAGTGAGTAGGAAGAGAGGTGAGGCCGGGTGAAAAAAGAAGAGACGAAGAGCGGAGGGTTTAACCCTGCTAGGGCTGCGGGGTAATATCTCTGCAGCTTGCAGACACTTTAGATAAGCTGCTGGGTGCAATCTGGAAAACAGCAAAGGAAAGGAGGTCAGTGATGCATCTACTTGCAGAGGAGGGACTGTGGAGCGCTGCAGAGGGGAACTAGCACTTCACAGGCAGTCGCAGACACACAGAAGTATAAATGCAAAAGTCTCGAGAAGAAATGCATGGCCCAACAATACAGTGATTCATCACAATTAAGCAGATGTAAACCGATACAGAGTGTAACCCTAACACCCAATCTATCAGAGGAGCTGCCTGTTGTCTCTGCTCTCCCACAGTTTAAATCTCTCCGCTGAATAATGGAAGTAATACTCCAACACATACCTACAGTAAATCATCGTGCACACACACCGCCTGCTGTATAATTCATTCCCGTTCAGTCCCCACTAAGCGATTTAAAGCTATCCTGTGCAGGTCTTCAGCAAAATACACGAGTAAATCCATCCGACACATTTATCACAGAGAGCTCGATGTTGTGTGTGTGGGATATCTGAGGCCTTGGGATTTAGACACTGTGCTGATCTGATGATTTGTTTCTATTTTGAATAAATAGCACATGTTAAATATATGTTTCTGTGTGGAATTAAATAATTGTTTTTCACTTCCAATTTTAATTTTTACGCTTACAACATACATTACAGGGTACGTAAAGACGGATATTTAAATCAATCCCGAACCTGTTGCAGGATAAGCTCCAGTTAAAGCTTTCATGTCAATAATTATACAATATAATGTGAAATATTTTGCAGTATTTAGAGTGCCGCATTACCAGCTGCTATGGTATTTAGTTGTGGTATTTACATTTGTATGACTATAGTGTAGAGAACAAATACATGTTGAACCCTATGAGGTTGTATTTCTTAAGTTGCAGAAGATTCTTTATACATTAGTAGCTGATTTGACGGAGGCGCTGCGGCAACACGCCATCACACTTTAGCCGAGAAGGTGAAGGCAAAGGCAAAGGCCTCATCAAAAGATCAAACTGCTTCCTGTGGACCCGCTAGGGATGTGCTCCACTGTCACCACAGGTCCCAGAGGAGGTGACCCCGCACTTCAATAACTAGCAGCAGATGAGCCGGTGCAGGAAGACACCGCTGGAGTCCAGGAAGTGGCTCGGGTATGAACATGTTTGGAGAGAGTGTTCTTTTGGCAAGAGGGGGGGGGTCTCTATAGTTTATTTTTGGGACCTTGGCGACGACCCTGCTGCTTTTCCTGTTTTCTTTTGCTGAAGTAGGTCTCAGGTTAGCGGGAACAGATAAAACAGTGGAAAAGCGGCATTCCAGAGGAAAACGCCTTTCTATTTTCACACCACGGAGGAGTCAGATGGAAGCTCGTTCATCACTTAAGGCTACCGAAAGCCAAGACAACAACTTGTCGATCAACATGTGGCTGTTTCCCAAAGGGAAAAGCAGTGTGACAGTTTTTACGAATTCAAATGTTCAGTATGTGAACGTCTTTTTAACCAATGTGAAAGATGTGGTGGGAAAAAAAAAATCAAAGAGACAAGCAACACAAACTGGATGACAATCATCTTGGAAGCCAGTAGGTGGCAATCTTCTCAGCAATCCTCACCAAGCACCTGTGTCCCTCTGAGCGAAGGGGCCCCAGATTACAGGCTCTAGATCAGCTCAGGGGGTCATGACACTCTCATGTCAGACACACTCGACAGTAAACAGTATTCAGTCGTTGTCACAATGCAGAGCTGTGTCAAATGTGGCAACAATATATGATAAAATCTAAAACAAACAAACATCTTATCTCATGGTAAACCACTTGGGCGAGGATGATGTGTTCACCATTGATTGTGGTGCAGGGCGCTACTGAACGGGCTCTGGTTTGCTCGGATTCATGTCTCACAACATCAAGGCTTTAAATGACCCTTCCCACTGAGCATGACATGCAGAGCCTTGCTGGATGTCCGTTGAGCTCCTCTGGCATCAGTGGGACATTACATTCATATTGCTGATTTTATCAAAGGCCTCGCCATTGTTGTTTGCCTTGGGTCTATGTCTTTCACCCCCCCTCAACAAGGCTGATCCAAAAATATTACTGTTGTGCTGAGGAGGAAATTAATAAATCTCTGAGGAGGAAATTAGAGTTCCAGACAGCGTGTTTCTTTTCTTAGCAAATGTATTGTGCAAACTGAATCCTCGTGAACCAAATTGTATTGTTTCAAAAATATATGACTTTGCAAAAATCCAGGCCTGGGATAAAAAGGAAAACGCGTCATGCAGTTGGCTGAACTGTCATTTTGTAGACTCGAGCCTTCTGAAGCTAAAAGGACTGAACAGCACTGCAGGTTAAAATACTAGACGACACATCTACTTGTATCGGCCACAGCATGATGGGATTGTACAAGGGACCTCTGTACTGAGGCCGTGTAATTCTGAATAACGAGAACTCGGCATGAAAGGCATTTCCTCCGGTGCGCCTACATGCACACCGGCCAACATTTCTCAAGTCAACAAACAAAGTGATCGCATCAATTGAGCAAGACTTTCAAGCACCGAGCGTGCAACGCTGTTGACAGATGCCGCGAGGAGAGCTGCGATTGGTCCGTCGCGGTGGGTGTTTTCCGCATTCCGGGAAGAGCTTTTCGTCAGGAGCGCATACCGGAGAGGGGGACCGTCGCGTCTGTGAAGAAGCCCTCCTCGGTGATACCCCAGAGGAATAGCGGTCCGTCGCCAGGGAGCAGGGATGCCTTACATGTTCGTCAGTACGCAGATCCGACTGGTGTGTATCTCGCCATCTGTAACCGACTCGTGTCGTGCTTTTAGAAGAGACGCGCTCGAGACGGAGATTGAGGGATTTGTTTGTTTGCCAGAGCAACGTGGCGCAAACCAGTACTCAATCAGATTGCTGTTCTGCAGCGTGCTGTAATATTCTGCATGCTGGAAACAACAAACAGTCAAGGCTACAAGCGGGTTTTTGTTTTTTGCTAGGGTGCCCTAAATCAAAAACACATGTTCCTCAGCTGTTGAGCTGTTCATTTAGCAACCTAATGCTATAGCCTGAGTATCTGGTGATCTATTTTTAGCCTGCCTAGTTATTAGAGATTATGATCAGAGGGCTGCAGGGGAAGCCAGTGACACGCAGCCAGAGCTGCACACATAACAGATATTGTTTGTTTTTTTCAAAAGCATTGGCATCTCAAATCAATCTTAAGCAAACCATCAGCTGTATAGTCAATGTACTTCATCACTTCTTGCAGGAGACTGGTCCAACAAATGTGGGAGATGAATATTCGGATCCAGCTGTCATGAATTCCCTAGGAGCAAGGAAGACAACCATGCTGGGGAACAATTTGTGAGTATTGCACATCGGGGACAGTCAGTTATTTAAGTGGGTTGGACATTCAGTGAATGGGGCAGGTAACTTGTCAAATGTGGGCAATATCTGACGACAAAGAGTAAACGGATGAGATTTGTCGGCATTGTTCGGCTCACTTGGGCCATAAAAGCACCAAGATTTAAATGTCTCACGGGATGAAGTAGTTCTATCCTGATTTGACCATTTTAATGAGAACATCTCACAAACGGGGAGAATAAGCTGTAATGGTCACACCATGTTTCCATATTTAGGCACTTAACTCTGGTTTTTCTTTCATTTTGGCAGTTAACGTGTACATATTGATGACAGGGCTGAGATCAGGTCACATGGAGGAAAAAAAAAAACCCCATCCAATGTGGCTGAGGAAGGCTGCTGGCTCTGCAGATTTAGATTAAACTGTTCAAGCTGATACAATACAGATCAGGGAAGTGTTGTCATTGGCAATCTGATTCAAATGCTGCTGGGAAATGAACCAAGGTGTGGAAGGAAGTGAACAAGCACCAGAACAATTAACAGCGTTCTACTTTCCAAGCAAAGTTTACTGAAACACGGAGAAATCCCACATCTGCGGAAAGTTGAATGACTTTGTGTTTATGCTTATTTAGTTCCGAGTACAATGTGGACGACCCGCCTCGCCTGGTGTTGGACAAGCTGGAGAAGATGGGCTTCCGCGTGCTGACGATGACGGGGGTGGGACAGACGCTGGTGTGGTGCCTCCACAAGGAGACGGAGTGATGGAGCGAGTATTGACTGTATGGAAATGCCTCTCGAAGCCTTTGAAAGGATGAATGAATCATGCTGAGGAACTTTTGTCATAGTAAAAATAAAAGTCCTAAAATTGAGATTATCCCAGACGTAAGGTTTCAGATTACCTTCAATAGGTGACAGGTCACCAATTTCAAGGGAATACCAAACTACATTCCAGGCATTTTATAAGGCCCTTTGCCCATATTGTTTGCTATTTACTAGTGGTGACCAAGTGTTGCGAGAGTAAGGTCCAGTTTAATTGTTAATCATTTGCCAGTAAAACTTAAAGGAATGTCTCTAAATTCAGCCTTAGCAAAAGACCTACAATACGCCAGATAGACGTATTTGTACTTAAAGCACTGTGTAAAGATGTTTTTTGCAAGTGTATCATATGCGTATGATTAAATGATCTAATGATGTGGATTGATTGTGTACTTGTGAATAGAAGAAAACAATTTGAAATCCTGCTGCAAAGGATACTTCTGATAACCCGATCAAACAGACAAATGACAAACATGCTTTTATTGGGAGCCCTCGCAGCTCCGTGGCACCTTACGGGGGGATGCTGCATGCCCAAAGATGAGGCGCTAGCACTGCACGCACACTCGGCCTGTGAGAGCCAAAAAACACTGGGTGGTTTCAGCACAGCCCCAGGTCTGTGAACACATGTCTGGGGCCAGCCCGGATCACTAACCCGCAAACCAGAAACTTTTCCAGCCAGCTTACAGCAAAAACTCTTACCAGTCCTGCTGCCTCACACATGACTTAGCTTCCACCTCTGTACTAAAGATCAAACGATGCTGGTGCGTCCCAGTACCGTGACCACGGAGATTCCATTTGCTGTTTGCATACAAAGACGTGACAGGTTTTGACTCGGAACATAATAAGGAAAACGGGACGGAAGAAGACACTATGAAGATTCCAGGGCTGTGCTGTAATGTTGGTAGGACACGGCAGGGTTGGTGGTGAATGTGTTTCCGGTAATTGTATTTCCTCTGTTGTCATTTGGACAGAGTTTGTGTTCCTCGGCTTCTTCTTTTTTTTTTTTTTTTTTTTACACATTGCCGGGATATGAAAAAGGCTATGCATAAACAAAACCATGTGATGAGGGGATTTTGCAGGAGGAGAGGAGCAGATGTCTCCCACCACATCGCTCCGCTCCACAGCTGGACATTGGTGGTAGAGAGATGGATGAGTGGGTTGGACGGTGCGAAGTTGCCATGTGGCTCCTAAATAACGCAATGACAGGAGAAACACGGGCCCACAAACACAGACGCAGCATTACGCCATAGTCCCCCCGAGGGACAGGGAAATGAGACTATTTGGATGGATAGATGTTCCACAGGCAGAACAAAACAAACAGTGACCGCAACAGTTTGGCACTGTAACGTCTGACTTAATGCGGGTCACAGAGCGGTAGCGTGACACTTCAGAGGGCACACATAAGCAATGCAGAGTATTTACTAGGCATCTGTTACATAGGCCTATTGGAACACAGCTTAGAATAATAGCCTGACTTAAGAGAAAATGTGTTTGTTGTTTTTGAAGCAAGAGGCATGTTTTTAAATTAAAGATGGTCCACGACATGTGACGCGATGCATCAGGACCGAGGCTGGAGTGAAGTGAATGAAATGGAAACACTGAGGTGGGTAGGTTGCCCCCAAAAACAAGCACAACTATTGCTGCAAAATCATGTGCGACGGCTAAATGGAAGTTCATGTACTGCTCATGCTTAGTGTAGCAGTTATCACGAGGTAAAAGTCGCTCAGAGAGCGTTTCAGGACTCCTCAATGAAAAGCCTTTCAGCGTGCGACCAAAGCAACAGTTATTTGCTGAGAGTTAGACGAGAAGACCGCTACTACTCTCATGTCTGTCCATTCAATCTTAAGCTGGAGCCGAGGAAACAATCATTTTAATCACCAGACCAATGACGGAGGGCCTTCAGAGTGCGTCTTGTCATCACGTGAGGCAACAAGAAGTCTTACAAAAGCCGATCTAGTGTTCCTACCTCTGAAAGCCTGATTACTGGTTTAACTTCCACGTATTCACATCGCACGGTCTGTTTGGAACGATACAACTGTTACTGAACGCGTGTGCAGACAACAGAGAGCAAAGGTTACACTCGGCACCTGGCTACAATAAGGAAGGAAAGGAGTTGGTCACATCCAGCCAGACAGATGCAAATTACATCATTATACCGATATTTTCATGTATCATTATAGATCTCCTCTGGCCCGTTCACAACATGACGAATAAAGACGAAAAATACTCACTGGGTGCCTCAGATCTAGAACTCATTTATCAGTTCTCAGGGTTGTTATTATAGAAACTAATGAGACAACGTGGAAATTTAATCAAATACATTTAGATGAAATTTCAGTTTATTGCAGCGAACTAAATGTTCAAGTCATCCGACTAAATTCTGAAACGGGTGGAACTGCAAACATACAGCACATGATGCAAGCATGCACCGTTTATTTTGAACAAATAAAATGTTGATCAATAATAACTTGTAAAAATAGAATTGGCCTCAATATTGACACGACATGTTTACACTAGATAGTGAGCAGTAATGAGTCACCCCTGCAGCCTCAGTATTAGGACTCATACCTCTGTCTGCGCTGCAGGAGCCCTCACTTCTTCTCTACTCTGTGCCTCCCTCAGTCATCCCACGCTCTGAATACAAGGAAAAGACAGAACACGCTGATTAACACCACAGATCCTTTTTCAGTTAATAAAAAGATTTATTTTGCCACAGAGCGTATTGCATACAAAAACATTAATAAATGACAAAAGAGGCTTTATGAAACTAAAGCCTGAGACAAGTATGTATTTAGGTGCAGGGTGCTGTGCTATGACCCGGCAGCCTCCTCGTCATCCTCTCTCTGCATTTGTTCTATGAGCTTTTGACGTTCAGCGGCCTGCCTCATCCTCATCATCACCACGCTCTCATAGTCGCGCTCGTTTGCCATGGCGCCCTGTAGGTGAGAGAGACAGACGTACAATGTTAACCAAGGTGACACAGGGAGGTTATTATAACTGTTATCTGAAAGCACAGACAAAATAGAGCTTTGTTGTAAGTATGTGAGCCTCAGAGTTCAGACTTCTTTCTTTTGTTTTTTAAGATGTACAAACAATTGGTGCACAAAGACATGTTGAGCAGCAGAAGACTTTCTACTATTTTGGTAATGGATTCAGCAAAATATGTTTTGCTGAATAACTTTGTTTTATTTGCATTGTTGGTCGGCCACCAATTGAAGACATCAGCCTGAACAGATCAACTAGATGTCTAAAATCAGCCAGCGTGGCCCTTTAATCAATATTCAAGAAACATTCCTAGTGAGCCATTACACTGAAAGTCAAAACGCGTCTGTATTTCACATCATGACAACATCGACTCGGGCAGCACACGGAGGAGTGAATGACACCACTGTCACCGTCCACTGTATGTTTGCTTTCACGACAGGGCCTGTGGGCGCACATCGGAGGAGAGGGGGACTCCTGCCGATGCCTTCATCTCGGTTACCATCAGCATGATGGCAGGGCGAACATGTATGAGACGGCAGCCCGCAGAGCAACTGTGACAGGGTAATTCCGCTGCCTGAGGTCATTAAACCCCAAAATGAGGGCTGGGATTAAGCCTGGCAGTCGCTACGGCCTCTCACTGTGTGTGTTTTAGTTCTTTGAAGGGCTCGGACGACGATGGCGACAGAGTCTCTTACTGCGGGGGGAGTCGGAGAGGGCAGCCACTGACTAATAGCTAATCAAGCAGGGTGGGACACAGGCCAGACGTCTAACACACACACACACACACACACACACAGGTCACAATCTGTGCGGTCACAAATGCCACACACATCCTCTAAATAAGCATGGAGACACTTAAAAAAAAACAAAAAAAAAACATACATATGCACCTAGGATGATGCCATAACATTAATTATGCACTCGCAGAGACCGTCATCCAATTTTGAAGAGGAATGGCGCCATGTCCACAGAGTAAGCCATTGTTTTATAGGATTGTATCCAGGAAGTCTGCCGGGCCAAGGAAGTGTCTCTTTAACAAGACAATGAGCGAGAAGGCGAGTGAGTGTGCGTGCGTATGAAGGGACTGGGTGGGTGAGTGAGAGCAATCTGAGGATGAGAGGTAGATTTTTGTCAATGCGCTCGCTGAGCATCTGGAAAGCATCACGGGGGACTCCAGCATCCATGTGCTAAGAGAACAAGGGTTAGCCTGAAGGAAGACGAGAAGAGAGGGTCGGTGAGGGGGAAGTTACTCCTCCTACACCCCTGGATGGAGGAAAGCTGCTATTATCATTCCAATAATGTGAGCTCAAGCCCTCGTCTGACACGTAACTCTGACATATCACGCAAACGCCATTAGGTAAATAAACAACCTTTGCATCTTCAAATCAAGCCATACACAAGCAAGCGAGCTGGATATGAAGGCTCCCTCTTCCTCAGCAGATATGTCTCCACTCTACCCTGCCCTCTTCTGGCCACTACGCGGAAGTGCAGCGGGAAACTGGTCTGACCAACACTCGGTGTGGTCAAGGACGGACTGAGCCGGGCTGATGGAGCGGGGGAACTCTGAGCGTTAACAGGTGCTTTGTGGTCGTGTGACACAGTCCTTCCCAGGATGAGGGATGATTCCTTGCCTAGAGTGTTAACTTACAATGTACATGTTTAGCCAGTGCATCACTCTGTCACTAAACACTTGCTTGTGTGTGTGTGTGTGTGTGTGTGTGTGTGTGTGTTGCAGTAACACTGGGGCCCAGGGTGAGTAGGAAACCACAGAACAAAAACAATGGGCCTCCGTACAAAGCCACCGCAGAGGTAGGATGGTAGTAAAACACACACAAACAAGCTGAGCATTAGCTACATGACATCAGCACATGGCTAGGCCTCCAAGCAGCACACCCCAGCCTGACCTCGGGCCAGTAATGACATCATGAATACCACCGGCACTGTGAGTCAGGCAGTGTAAAACACACTCTTACACTCTTTCCCACACACACAGCAGGAGGCATCTCGCTGCGTAGGCGGCCACTGTGTTCCCCCGGCACAAGTTGTCGGATCAGCTGCACATTACACCATCCCTCCATGTGTGTTGGTGCGAGCTGTGTGTGCGAGTATGTAAGCATGTGAGCACGTAGTGAATGAAGACGTGAGGAAACAAGTGTGTGTGTGTGTGTGTGTGTGTGTGTGTGTGTGTGTGTGCAATAGAGAAGGGAGAGTGTAGACTCTACTATAAGATGACACTATCTCTATAAAATGGAAAAAAAAAAAAGAAAACAACAACACATATGCAGACAAATGTCATGCAGTGTCTTAAGTAAGATGTTGGACCTCCTGGAGCCTCCAGTTTAGCTTCAGTGCAAATCTCTGAAACACACAATATTCCTGTATGCTGTTTCGATGATGGTGGTGGTGAAGATCAGGTCAAAAATCTCCAAAAAATGTTTCACCTGGGTTGAGATCTTGTGACAGTTAAGGCCAGAGCACAACCTTCACATCATGTACTCGCCCAACCACCCGGTGTCTTTCCGTGCCCTCTGTCCATCATGTTCCCCCCCCCGCTGATATATTCAGGTTTTCTACTTAATTTGTTGCATAAACACAAAGATCGCTACAGCTGACGTCCCCGTCCTTTGTTACTGTGCTCCATTGATGCGTCTAAATGGAAAACCACACCACAACTTTATTGCCAGAAAGGGGACACACAAGAAGCAAGAAAATAAAAGCAGCTCTCTAAGAACATTTGCTTTAACAATGCCTCTTGTCGGATTGTATTACTCCAGTAACTCAAATGACACTGTAGTGACTTTTAAAACATTTTTAGTTGATATATTTCTGTTCCATGCTCATAGTCCCTTCACCTTGCAGCCTGAGAGGTTCCCAATAATAATTGGATTACTCATTAACACCACCAGATATCTCTAACTAGACGGCCAATGAGCCAAGAAGAGACTTGACAGACTTTGCTGCCAAGAGAAGAAATGACTTCTCCTTAACAAGCCTCCTCTGTGGGCCAGGCTGACATCTCTGCCTCTCATGCACTCTGGTGAAGTTAATCAAGGAACTACTTATCCCGAGCGTGTGTGGTGGCGTGGTGTGTGTTTCTATGTGTGTGTCGCAGGTGATTTATGAGAGGTGAAGACCTATTTAGAAATCATTTGTGTGTGTGTGTGTGTGTGTGTGTGTGTGTGTGTGTGTGTGTGTGT